GATCTCTGCTGTGAATACGACCGCGAAGAGTTTCCCCGATACTGCTGTGCGTGTTCCTTACCCATCTCATTCGATCCCGTCGTCGTTTCTGCTACCAGCGTTCCGCTTCTTGAATCTCACTCACTGCATCATGTCCACAAATCGCTTTTTGGGATCTTTATATGATGCATTTATCGACCTAACTTGTTTCCATAGCGCGCAACGACGATAGGCGTCGTCTTCTCTGCTTTCGGCCTCTCCGCATTCTGGTTCTCGATGCTCGCAAACATCTTTTTCCCAGGTGATACCTCGGCCTTCCTCCTCACCCTCGCTGTTGGAACTGCATTCCCCATGGTCATCGGTCTCTTCATCTTACGACCTACGCCGTATACCCCGCCAACCGTCAGCCGCAAGCCCGACGTAGCGACGTCAAGTTCGGCTGATAGAGACGCGGACAGTTCTGCGCCGCTTCTATCGCACGAAGAAGAGGAGAATATCTCGCGCCGTGTCTCTGAAGCGTCGTCGTTGATTGAGATGAACCAACCCCGGAGTCCAAGTCGTGCGAGGGGAGACAAGGAGCGGATACCGAATGTTTATGGGAAAAAGCTGTGGCTTCATAGCGACTTTCATTTGTTATTCGTACTATTGGCTCTTTGTGAGTGTTTCGTTGTTATTGATCCTTGTGGAGGCTGAGCAATGTAACCGTCGTGATAGTGAGCGGCACTGGACTCATGTGTATGTGTGTAGTATGGAGACGTTAACGTGGCTCATGTCTCGCTTGACAGACATCAATAATGTGGGCACGATATCCAGAGCGTTATACGTAAACGCAAACCCGATCATCGACGAACTAGAAGCGTCGAAATGGCAAGCAGCACAAGTCTCGACAGTCAGCATAGGCAATTTCTCAGGTCGCATACTCATCGGTATTATCTTTTCGACAGTGTCTGCTGTTTCCCCACTGACGCGCGGCGCTCATTCCTCACCCAGGTATGCTATCTGACTTGACGAGAAATAAGCTACGGCTTCCGCGTGCCTACTGCCTCTGTATCGTGTCGTTCTTGTTCATCGTCTCTCAGGCGTTCGCGATGGGCGTGTCGACGGTTACACGGCTGTGGGTGGCGAGTGCGCTGCTTGGCCTCGCATATGGGAGCCTGTACGGACTGTTCCCTGCTATCATGATCGACTGGTTTGGTCTAGGTGGGTATTCGTTTCCGGGGTCAACCGTTGGCTGTCGGGCTGACAACGTTCAAAGCCCATCTATCCGAGAACTGGGGCTACATCAACTTTGCGACGCTTTTTGGTGGGAACGTGTTCTCGCTCATGTTTGGACGAAACCTCGACTCGCATACGTCGACTCGAGGAGACGAGCCGTCTATGCTCTCGCCGCGGCACGGTCCTTCTTTCTTGCCAATCTGGCCTCGGGGGATGGCGTCAGACCGGCAGTGTCTTGGGGGACGGGATTGTTATGTGGACAGTCTGCGCGTGACGCTTGTCGCTTGTACGGTTGCGCTGGGTCTGAGTGTGTGGGCTGGGATTAGGGATTCGAGACGGAGTAGGTGAGGGCGCGGATGGTTCGTGAATTACTTTTTTTTTATTCAATAGAGTGTACATACATAGGATCACCTCGCACATCGCTATAGACCCTTGCTGGGCAACGACACCTGCCTTCCAGAGGTGCTCTTACGTCAGCACCACGCCAACGTTGGAAGATTTTCGAATTCCTCATGTTTTTCGCGATCATATTCAGTGGTCGAAGCTTGATCTTATACCCCCCCCCCCCCCCCCACGCTAACCTTTTGTCTGATTCCATCCACACTAAAAAAATAAAATAAGATAAAATCGACGATGCCTTCGAACGGATCAACAGTGCCTAACGGGAGAGCAGAGGCGCCAGCTGTCGAATCGTCCGCCCCTGCGGTTGTGGGCATAAACTTTGGCAATTCGTTTGCCTCTATCGCCGTTTTCACAAAGGTGCGTGTGTTATTTTTTGATGTCATTCGTTCATTCGTTCATCGATATCATACTCTCTTTTTTTGTTGGAGTAGGAAGGGCTGGCGGAATGTATCGCGAATGAGGACGGAGAACGTCAGATCGCGTGTGCGTTGGCTTTCTTGGGCGAAGAGATGGTACGTGTTCTTTTTTCGAGATTCCTCTATCAGGATCGCAGGGTCTTTTTTGTTCAATCGTCGTTCGGTATGACAGTACATTGGAAATCAAGCCAAACACCAGCTCGTTAAAAACTCTCAAAACACCATCACGGGTTTCCGCAATCTTCTTGGAAAAAAGTATGTGCTTGGATCTTTTCTTTCCCCCCTCCCCCCCCCCGGTTCCGCGTCGCTCATGTCCTCGTTTGTGTGATGTGGCAGGTTTTCAGAGATCCCTCAATCCGCGTTGAACATGTCATCCCCCGTCATCCAACACCCATCCCTGCCGGACACGCCAGCATACAAAGTAAAAGTCCTGCAACCCGCACCATCGCCGCTCTCTGGTACAGCCACGTCCAACACCCCAGCCGCATCCCAACTCGCCACACCGCGCTCAGAACCGACCGAAATCGAAAAGATCCTCACCGTGTCAGAAGTGACGACGCTCTTCCTCGGCTCGCTCCTCCAGTCCGCTCAGGATTTCTTGGGGAAAAACATCGTGGGCGCCGTCATCAGCGTGCCCTCGTGGTTCGACGACGGCCAGCGGGAAGCGCTCACGCAAGCGGCGGAAGACGCAGGGATGCGTGTGTTGCAGCTGTTGGACGATGCGGGTGCCGTCGCCGTGTGCACGTCTGCAGGTGCTGCTGAAGGCGTCCCCCGCGATCGCACACAACTCGTCGTCGACTTTGGCGCGTCCTCGCTCGAACTGTGTCTACTGTCCATCCGCGAAGGACTCGCCTACTCGTTGGCGACGCTCTCGGACGCGAGTATCGGCGGGGACGAGATCGACTCGAAGCTGATCAAGTTTTTCGCCAAGGACTTCACGAAAAAGACCAAGACGCCGCTCGCGGTCGCGCCTGCCTCGGACGCGCTGGATAAACGGGCGGAAGCAAAGCTCCGTCTGGCCGTGGAGCACACGAAGCGCACGTTGAGCGCGAGCGCGGGTGCTGCCACGTGTTCCGTCGAGTCTCTCAAAGACGGGCTAGATTATACAGGGTCCATCAACCGTCTGCGCTTCGACATGGAGGTGCGCTCGATCTACGATAAAGTGTACGCCAAAGTCAAGGAGCTCGTCGCGGGTGCGGAGATGGACGTCTACGACGTGGACGAGATCGTGTACATTGGCGGCTCGGCGTGTCTCCCGGGGCTGGACGAGACACTGTGTGATGGGTTTGCGGAGGCTGTGATCACGCCGTTCAAGGCGGGCACGGTCGTGGGCGGGGGTGTGGGTGATCCGACGACGATTCTGGCGCGGGGATGTGCCGTTCAGGCGCAGTTGCTTGTTGAGCTCGCGAAGGACGAGTCGATGCGGGATGCGTTTGCAAAGGGGAGCGAATGGGCGGGTGTTGCTGCGACGAGCCGGACGATTGGGTTGCTCGTGCCGCAGGAGGATGTCGAGGGCACCATGGGCGGCATTTGGATACCGCTTCTTCTCAAGGAGACGCCGCTCCCATGTCGGAGGACGCTGACGCTCGAGGTTGCGGTCGGCACGGCGGACGGGAAAGTTGGGTTTGAGCTTTGGGAGGTGAAGGAGGGCGTGCAGGTTGAGCTCACGGAACCGCCGAAATTCGATGACGATGAGGAAGCAGAGGACGCTCAGGAGGAGGAGGATGAAGAAAATGAAATGGTAGAGGTGAAAGAAAAGACGTTGACGAAGGAGGCTTACTTGGTGTCCTTGTCGCTGTCACCGCAAAATGTAGGAGCGGGGAAAACGAGGGTGCAGGTGCAAGTGACGGTGTCTGCGTATGGCGCTACGGACGTCAGCCTGTGTGAGGTTCTCAAAGATGGAAGGCTTGGGGATGCAGTCTCTGCGAGCTTGGCTGCTCAATGATTTTCGGTGGTTAAGGTTCTACTTTTCCTCGATCACACTCATCCAAAACCAGTGCTCATTGGCCATTGTAACAGTGAGGATAGACGATGGTGCTTCTCAGTGCTATTCCCCGATATCTTCATTCCACTCCTGCATGACGTAGAGTTTGCACGCGTGACACTCTTTTGCAATTTAGAAAGCGTATGAAAACAGAACCGTACCTCGGGTTTTTCCTGTATGAACCGTTTCATGAGGTCTTTGCACTCGGGATCGTCGAGGACGATGACCTCGACGCCGTGTTGCTTCAGCAGGGCTTCACCTCCGACCCAGTTCTCGTTCTCGCCGATGACGACACGGGGGATTTTGTACAGCAGAATGGCGCCTGTGCACATGTTGCAGGGACTGTAAAGGATGGGTTAGTATGCGCTTGAGTGGTCACAAGACCTTTCTTTACCTCAGAGTCGTGTACTGTCCGATCATCAATGGCTCAACGTTTAACTCATCCAACGCGCATTTTTTTTTAAGGACACACTCACCATCGTAGACCCGCGGTACACATCCGCCTTTAACCTCCCCGCGTCTTCCAACGTCGCGATCTCGGCGTGCAGCGTCGGCGACGATTTTTGGATTCTCTGGTTGTGAGCGCAGCCGAGGACGATGGCAGCGTCGAGCGAGGATGATGAGCAGCCGTGGTAGACGAGGGCGGATCCGATGGGTATCCCGCCTTCTTGATAGCTCTTCCGGGCTTTGGAGAGCGCGGTGGAGAGGCCGAGTTTGTCGATGGCGTTCATGTGTGTGGTGCGGGATGGGATGGGATGAGGAGTGTTCTGTGTCGGAATTCTGGCAATGTCATATCTCTTCATATCTCACGAATCTTTTTTCTGGTTCTCGGGATCGTCCTATTCTTGTACTTATCTGGATCATAACTTACTTGTCGTGAGCAGCTGGGCGCCGACAGTATTTCAAACTGGGGAAAAAGCGCATGGAGGATCTGGAGTCTGGACATTCTTTTCAATCTGATCTGGTCGATCCGAGTCCACTTGCTGGCGAGAAAAAAGATGAGCTGCCCCGAGCAAGGCTCGAACTTGCGACCTCAGGATTGCCTGTATGTGAAGATACAGTCATACGGAGTATGAGACCTGCGCTCTAGCCAACTGAGCCATCGGGGCGGTGATTGCGGGTCAGTAGTAGACATCTTGATGGGGGCGTAGTCTTTGCTCTCGGGTGCCCATCCACCCCGCAACGTTGATTTGTTCAGTGCTGGAGATGTATTTGGCAAAAAAAAGACATTTCTTATCAGGTGTCGTGAAGGATGGGAACGCGATACTCAAGTCGAACGGCTTGAGGTTCTCAGGACGCGTCTGTTTCTGCACGAATGAACGCCGGCGGGATCCACTCTCCGTTCGCATACTGAAGAAGAAGATTCTTCTCATGTCTTCCAGTGTGGCATTCACCGTGGTCACTTCTTTCCAGCCATCGGCTCTCTCGCTAATATCCTTATCGTTCCAGTACCGTGATAAACGCGTTAAATACTGCCCAGTGCGGCCCGTTACTCTGCTGCTGGAAAGCTATTTCGCAGACGGTTATTTAAAGGGATGCGGCGACGTGCTCGGACGTTCCTCGCCTCAGAGCAACCCAGACGCCCAACATGAGCTTGGAGGACCGCGACAAAGAGAAAAGCCCCACATTCGACATCAAGGTCGACGACGCGGAAGGAGAAAGCAACGATGGCTCTTCAGATTCTTTCGTTCCCCTCAACCGCAAGTTGAAGAACCGGCATATCGCCATGATAAGGTAAGGAATGTCCTTGCTCCTTGCACGCTCTTGCGTCTCACCAACTCAGTATTGGTGGTGTCATTGGCACTGGATTGTTTCTCGGAACAGCGTCTGCATTGATGAACGGAGGACCAGTCGGTCTCCTCCTTGGCTACATCTTTATTGGCACGATTTGCTACTCCGTTATGGTGATCGACCTGCGAACATCATTTATAGCAGCGTCTGAACGGTTAATAGATTACGGTGGGCGAGATGATTGCATACCTCCCTGTCGCTGGCGGCCACATTAAACTTGCCGAGCGCTTCGTTGATCCGGCCTTTGCATTTGCTATGGGGTGGAACTTGTGGTACAACTGGACGGTATCTGCCAGTTTGTTTGACCTTGCGGATCACGTCTAAATAGTGTTTGTGACAGTTGACTTTGCCTGGTATGCTTGCGCCGTCAGGGAAGGTCATTCCTCGCTTATTGTTATTGGCTTTCAGCTGAGTTGTCGGCTGCGGCGACTATTATCGACTTTTGGGAGCATGGCGTCAGTAATGCTGTGTGGATTACAATGTGTCTAGTCGTCGCCGTGGGTATCAATATCTGGGGGGTCGGTGAGCCACTTCGGTAGAGCGCTGAAATGCATTCAAAACTTCTGGACAGGCGCATACGGAGAGACGGAATTCTGGTTTTGGTAAGAAGTCGTGGACTCTGGCCTCGTTCACGATAACATCTCTAATTCATGCTATCTCAGTTCCATCAAAGTTGTTACCATCACTGGCTTGATCATTCTCGGCATCGTTCTCGATCTCGGTGGCGGGCCTAATCATGACCGTATCGGTTTTCGATATTGGAAGAATCCGGGACCGTTTGTAAACTTTGATGGGATACCTGGTGTGAAGGGTCACTTCCTTGGATGGTCCCGAGTCGTCACCCAGGCCGCATTTTCTTACGTTGGTGCAGAAGTGGTCGCAGTATGTATCGCGTGAATGTCTATTCTGGCGCTAATGTTCATTTTGTCCCCCGTCTAAGATGACAGCTGCAGAAGCCAAAAATCCACGACGCAACGTCCCGAAGGCTGTTCGCAGAATATACTTCCGCGTCCTTGTTTTCTATATCGGTGGTGTATTTGTTATAGGACTTTTGGTGCCCTCGAACAACCTGTTACTCAATCTGAACTCTAAAAATGCCTCCGCATCGTCATTTGTCATTGCTATCAACCAGGCTGGCATAAGGGGATTACCATCTGTAAGTTTGGGGTGCTGTCGAGACTTGCCTTAATGTCCGACGTTTGACTTAGAACACTGATTTAGGTCATAAACGCTGCCATATTGTCCTCTGCTTGGTCTGCGGCGTCAAGTGATCTGTATATCGCATCACGAGGATTGTGTACGGTAATGATGCTGTTATTGTAGAATTTATCTGATCCTTGTAACACAGACGGTCTAGCTGCATCCGGGAATGCGCCCAAAATGTTCCTCAAGACGTCCCGTTCAGGCCTGCCATATGTTTCCGTGACTCTTTGTGCATGCTTCTCTCTTCTGGCATACATGGCTGTTGGCAATAGCTCTGGCATAGTATTCACTTGGTTCTCAAGTATGACCGCCACCTGTGGTCTTACCACGTGGTTTGGCATTGGCATTACCTACCTCAGGTTCTACAAGGGTCTTCGCGCTCAGGGTATTGACAGGAGTAAGCTTCCATACACGTCAAGACTTCAACCTTACGCTGCTTGGTGGGCTGTCTGCGCTTCGGCCGTCACCATGTTTGTACGTCTATCCCTCGCGATATTATCTTCCTCATGAACTCAAAACCTAACCCGGTTGTGACACTCTTGTTTGACAGTTCAGCGCCTGGGAGGTTTTCCTAAGAGGAAACTGGCTTGCGGCGACCTTTGTGACCAATTATCTACCTATCATGCTCTTTCCAGTCCTTTATGTGATTGCAAAATTGGTGAACAAGGTTCCTCTGGTAAAACCAAGTGACATGGACTTCAAGTCTGGAGTGGCGGAGATTGATGCTATTACGTTTGTATCTTTTTCTCCATTGACTCAAGTAATTCATCCCTGACCATTTGGCCCGTCCTTTTTATTCCAGCCACGATGACCCACCCCCGAAAAACTGGATAGAGCGAGTGTGGATGTGGTTGGCAAGTATCAGCTACGTTGTGACGACGAGCTTCTCACTTTTATCTTCTTTAGATGTGAGGATTGATCGGAAGGTAATCACCGAATGACGTTAAAGCTACCTCTTTGTCGTACACGTGCCCTTGTATGTCCAAAGACAAATGGTCCTGATCCGGGCCTGGCCAATGCAAGGGTCCTTTTTGAGTGGCGTCAGGACAGTCGATCTGCTCAGTGGTCTGTTCCTTTCGTAATGTTTGCAACTGATGGGGTAACCATTCGTCGTGCTTTGCTGTCAATGCTGTACAGTCAAGTGATCCAGACATCGATCGCCCTCCCTTTTATGCGTTGTCAGGTAGGTGGCTGGCCATCTGGACCTTTGTGTGGCTGTCAGGAGCAAGCATGTTTGTGGTCACGAAGGCGGAATTATTAACTGCGATGTCAGCAGTCATGTTAGCAAGTGTTGTGCGACCGGTGGAGTTGCATTCAATTTATGTGTCCTTGCGCTGAACAGTCAGTCTCCACCTTTATCGTTCCTCGGTAGGTGTTCTGTTCCACCGTCGCTCCGATAGCTCTGAATGCTCATCTGGTGTTTCGCTGAAAATGGGAAGAGTCCAAGAACTGTACGCTGAAAGTCTTCAGTGACTACTTACTGTAGATACGGGGAGGGCTTGGCCGTCTCGTAAAGTAAGTTGTTGGCCTGCATCTGGGATTCAGTTACGTTGAAGTTTAACATCTCGTATGTAATGAGAATGGCGACTGCCCCTGGCACTGCACATCATCCTTGCATTTGCTAATTGCGTTTAATCATTGAGCGTACTGAATGGACCACAGTCAAGTAGATTCCGCGTCTCAACGTTATACCCATGAAGAATAAGCGGATCGATAAGTACGTGAAGACGCAGAGGCGCTTCAGCGACTGAGGTAAAAATATTTGCCACCACTCTCATGACAATGACAGGTCACCGGCCCGCCAGTCTGCGTATCGACCGATGTTCACCGAAAGGGTCAAGTCAATGTCCTCAAGTATTTAATATCATGCACTCGTCAATATCTTTCACTTTTCACCTTCGTTTTTCTTTTTCTTTAGAGGTCAACTTTGGGTCCTGGCTGTAGGATCAGAAACCAGCCATGAGTAGCATCCCCGCCGGCACGCTGATCTGGGTGGCAGTCCAACCGCTCATTCGTCTGTAGGTGCACCAGTCCGGATCACATATCTCGGTCTTGTATATTTGATAACGATACCAGGTTCCTATGCGTTGGGTGTGGTTTCGCTATTACAAAAGCTGGGCTTCTTTCTGCAGTTGCAGCCCGGGGAGCTGGACAACTTATACTGGTGAGTGAGTCATGGAATTGGTCGGTGGTGTGTCGCTGAGCTTTCCATGGTCAGAATGTCACTCTCCCGAACCTCATGTTTTCAAAGATCGTTCCCGCATTCAACTCGCAAAATATCGCTGAGCTAGGTATGCATACTCACTATTCATGCAAGCGACATTCAATAACCACTTCCCAGGACCTCTTATTCTGGTCGGAGTTATTTATGAAGTTATCGGCATTTCCATCTCCTGGATTGTGAAGCAACTGTTTTGGGTTCCACACAGGTTCCGATATGGCATTCTTGTCGCCGGTGGATGGGGGAACGTTGGGGATATTCGTGAGTTACTGACGTTTTCCCCTCGAGCGACCGCTGAGTGGAAAGCACGCAGCAACCTCTGTTGTCATGAGTATCACGGCCTCCGTACCATTTAATGGGACTGAGGATCAAAATCTGGCGATTTCGTACATTGCCGCCTTCATCCTTGTTTTCTCTGTCTGTCTATCCTTTTTGTCTCGCGCTGAACGTCGTTAACATATTTATTTCTAGATCACGCTGTTTCCACTCGGTGGTGCCAAACTGATAGCAATGGATTATGACGGGCCAGATATAGAAGACGAAGATGTCAAAGAACAACTTCGAATCAAGCAGCGCAAAATAACTACGGCATTTGGACACTTTGTTGCTCGGTTAGGAACCCCAGTGTTTGGTAGACGCGCCCGAGCGGAGGACGTAGCTTTCGATGCAGAAAAAAGGGTGTCTAATGCTGAAGTACATGACCATGGCGCATTATTTACCGCCGGTTTCGGATCAGACCCTATTTCCCAATCGTCTACGGTCGTCCAACCTGACCCTCCATCTACCAAGGAACCTGTGGCAGAGGACAGCATATCCGCCCTTCTTCACCATCGAATAGCTCGACAAGCGTATAGCGTGTTCCGGTCTTTTCTATCCCCGGTCTCGCTATCTATC